TATGCTTTCTATATCCTTTTAAATTCTGTAAAATCTGTGGTAATGTCTCCTAGATCTTGATATTGTAATTTTAAAAATGTATAATTGATATTGTGTAATAGGAAGAAAATGTCTAAAGGAGCAGGGGAAGTGGGAGGGGTAGGGGAAAGGAAAAAAAGGGAAAAGAAATAATATGAGAAAAGAAAAAAATGAAAACAAAGTCTTTGCAAATAGGGAAGGGTGGAGGGGGTGAAGGGAGGGCAGTTGAAGGGGAAAAAAATAAGAACCAAGATACTCATTTAATTGTACAAGATCCCAATGATGAATGTAACTGTATTTTATACCTAAAATGTACCAATAAACTTAATGGGGAAAAAACTCACACATTTGACCCTCAGTGTGTTGTAAAATGGGGCTAATAGCATTGACATCTCAGGGTTAGTATGATAATCAAATTAGCCGATACACCTAAAACACTTAGAACAGCAGCTGGCACATCTTAAAGGCTCAGCACATTATTAGCTGTCTCTGCAAATAGTAAGAGGAACAGGAGATGGATGGAGGGGAGAAAGAGGGGAAGAAAAGGGAAGTAAAAACAATTGAGGGGCTGGGGATTTAGCTCAGTGGTTCCGGCACCTGCCTCGCATGTGCAAGGACCTGAGTTCGATCCCCAGTACCAAAAAAAAAAAAACAATTGAGATGTGTTATATACATGTATCAACTCCCCACAATGAATGTAATTATGTACTGCAAACATCTACTAGTAAAAATAAAAATTTTTAAAAAGCACTACATAGAACAACAGAGAATGCGTCATTATATGTATGTAATTCTGTTATTAAATCTTTATCATTTGAATAACAATGTTTTAACTACAAAGATTACATGAAATCTCTTACATCTTGCTAATTCTATAAAATCATAGGTTGATTTGTAATGCTTTACTATAATGCTCTGCTTTTCTATGGTCTTAATATCATTAAATATATGGAATCTACCCTGAAAAAAAATGTGGTGTCTTTAGGATAAGTATTATCATCCCCATTTTAGAGATAAGGAAACAGAGGGCCAGAGAGGTTAAATGATTTGTCATACTTCATACAACATTATCCAAACTCAGTCTAGACCTTCCAGCTCTGGGCTTGTTTTCTACCCATATTATGATCATCCAATTAATATGTAGCCTGATTTGCATGCTGTCCTGGGTGTGAGAGACATTACAAAAGAGACTCCCCATACCATCTGGATAATTATAATTTCATTGAGGAAAACTAGACTTTTAAAATTTTCATAAGTACAAAGAAACTAGTGATACTTTCAGCACATAAGTCCAGAAAATACAAGTTTGTTGTTGTTGGTGGTGGTGGTGGTGGTTTTTTGAGACAGGGTCTCACTATGTAGTCCAGGCTGGCCTGGAACTCATGGTGATCCTCCTGCCTCAGGCTCCTGAGTGCTAGGATTACAGGTGTGCACCACCACACCTGGCTTCAGAAAACATAAATTTTGAACATAAGTTAAAGAAAAACAAACTTAAGACGCGTTCTATGTACATATACCAACTCCCCACAATGAATATACTACAAACATATTAATGAAAAAATTTAAAAATAAAAATACTATTTACAGAAAAAAAGCTGAAAAATAAAGAGATAATTAGGAGCTAGAGCATTAAAACAAGTCTTTCTGGAAGACACAGATGTCATTTGGGAGCTGTAGGACTTAAGGGCATCCCTCTGTCTTGGGTTTAGGGATACAATAAGGTTTTTGCTTTACTTTGTGATGCTGGGGATTGAACCCTGAGTCTTCACACAGAGATACATCCCCAGCCCTTTTTAACGTTTATTTTGAGACAAGATCTTGCTAAGCTGCCCCGGTGAGACTCAAATGTGGGATCTTTCTGCCTCAGCCTCTCAGAGGGCTGAGATTACAGCCATGTGCCTTCACACCTGGATGAGTTGCTTAAATGACTCTATTAGCATCAGCAACTGAAACCCATAGGTCCATTAGCACAGACAGGACAGCTCTTTCAGAAGAAATGCAGTCAGCCTGTTTCACAAGAACTTGTCCTGTCTCTCCAGATGCCAGACAACTCACCCGTGAAAGGACAGCAGAGAGGGCAAACCCTGTAGGAAACACAGTGACAGGAGTCAAAGAGGCAGCTCCACTGGCCTTTTTGTTAAGGCTTGAGTCATATGAGTCCATAAATAAGCCCAAAAATCAGAGAGAAATTACTCTCTCTGCTGTTGTTTATGTAATATTTTCACAAAAAGCATTTTCACGTTTCTTTTAAGCATGGCCCCTAGTTGCAATGTATCCTGGCCTGGGAAAAGTATTTTAGAACTTAACCCTTCAGTTATGACATAAACCAGAAATGATGTAAAAGTTAAAATTCCAACAGCCAGCTCTACACATGCTTTGAAGTCTGATCAAGACCATTAGGAAACCTAATAATGAATGGAATCATTATGTATTGCAATCATGTCCTAATACAAGTAAACATTTTTAAATTAAATACATAAATAAAAGGAAATCTATTCTATATTCCCTCTAAGTGAAAATCAAAGCCCTGAGGCTACCTCTTTGCTTTAGAAATTTTTTAAGAGGCAGCCCAAAGTCCTGCCTAAGATGCTCTATATTGCAATATTTTCTTTTTCTCAGTTCTTGTCTTGTAAATAATTGTGTATTATGTTAGCAACTTTGGAGGGAAAAAAACCACACTGGGTAATGAGATGGCCATCAACGGGAACCACCAACTGAGGAAAAGATGCCATTCTCCCATGAGGAAAAGAAAACTGAGAGGTCACCAGAGGACATACTAGCCAGAAACAGAGCAGGGTTTCTGATTCACTATTCTCTACTCCATTTTATTTTCCTAGCATGGGCACTATCATTTGCATAGAAGAATCCATGGTTAATTGCTTGTTTTCCTTGACGCGCACAGCCTCATCTCTGTTGCTCTAAAACAGGCTGTATGAATTGCTTTAAAATTAGCCCCAGAAGTCCAAGAAGTGTAGGGACATTTGCAGTAACTGGGGCAGCCAGTCCTCGGTGTCCAGTTCAGGGAATGCTACGCTCCTTGCCAGGCTGTACCTATGTGCCAGAGGACAGTCTAGGACTCCAGCAGGTGCCAGTGTGAGGAGCTTTACTTCTGAAGAGAGGCAGCCAGGTGGCTATGCCATATCCTTGGCCTTCACTCCTCAAACTAACCCCATATTCTCTGAATAAACTTTTGTTTGTTTTGCAGTGCTGAGAATCAAACCCAGCATTATGCATGCTCGGCAAGCACTTTACCACTCAGCTACATCCCCAGCTCTCATGTGAACTTGTTATTTATGAGAAAAGGGGGGGAAAAAAAAGATTTTTCAAAGACAGACATTGGTTTGCAGGTGTCACTTTTTCATATGCAGAAGGAGACATGTAAACTCACCTAGACACTGAAAATAGAATTCTGAAATACAGATTTTACATAACCAATAATTACATTTAAAATTTAATTTCAGGGGGCTGGGGATTTAGCTCAGTGGTTCTGTGAATCTAAAACTGCTCTTGAAAATACAGTTTATTTAAAAAAAGAAAAGCAAACAAAAACCAGTCAATAAGAAACCTAAAAGAAAAATTACTTGAGACATCTTATTTTCTCACCCACTCCTTTACCTTGTTGTAGAGATTCACTAATATTTATCAGAACATAGCCTATAACAGAAACCAAAAAGACAGCTAATATTTACTGGCTACTACTAGGTGCTAAAAAGTTTTATATACATTACTTCTTTTAATCCTTATAATAACACGGATTTTATACATGAGAAAAAGGAGGCTTACAGCTAGTAAGTAGCAGAGTCTCCATTTGATTCCAGGCATGCAGGGTTCCCCTGTCTTCTGGAAACACTTCCTTCCCTCATCCATTATGTTTATATACTCATTTTTCATTTGCTCACTTTTGCTTGGTTGGATTTTTTTTTTTTTGGTACCAGGGAATTGAACTCCGGTCCTTGTGCTTGCGCAGCAGGCGGCAAAACCAGTGAGCTAAATACCCAGCCCCTGAATTTTTTTTAATGCTAGGGATCAAACCCAGAGTCTTACATATGCTAGGCAAACCAGGTATCACACAGCTATATCCTCAGCCCTAAATTCTAAATTTTAAAAATTCATCTAGCTTCTTAGCTCTTTCACACATATTTCACAAGAGGCACCATTTACCTAAAGTCTCAGAGTTACTGTCAAGTGGGATTTAAATTCAGATTATTCTGCTTCCCCAAAGAAAAATAATTGTGAGAGAAATAAGGATCCAAGAGAAAACTAAAATTGACTATAATTAATAAAATTGTGTAGGTCAAGAATTCTAAAATTTTTAGAGACAGGGATAATTATATGTGTGCACAGATACACACATACGTGGATTATTACAGTAAGCATAGAACCACAGAATTTAAGAAATGGAAGGGATTGTGAATGAAAAAACTTTAGACCCATACACAGATGGCTAAGTAAAAACTCATTCCCAGGATCTGTGATTCCCAGGCAAATGCTCATTCCAGGACTAAGGAATTAGGTCATTTTCTTTAGCATTTCAAGTCTCCGGTTAAGATCTTCAAAGTCAACCTCTTCAGAGTCATAAGTGTCAATGGACCGGCTTGTGTGAGGTTTTACATCAGGCAAATCAGGCAGCACTGAGTTACGGAAACCAATCTTGGCTCTTGATTCTGGCTGTGGAGAAGTTTGAGGGTTGAGTCCTGGACCTATTCATTTCAGTGAACATAATTAAAAGTCACAAGGCAGCCCTCCAGAAAGAAATCCCAGCCTCAAAGAAAGTAACTGTTGTGTTGTGTTGTGTTTTGTTGTGAAGGAGTTAAGGACATACCATGTCAAAAAAACTGTCTAATTGGTTTATTGATTATTTCAGGATGCAGTCACTTGAGGAATTGTGACTTCAGAAAGGGCCATTTGGCCTGTCATTTCCTATGTGCCATAAAGATTCTTTGGGAAGAGGTGTCCTTTCCATATCAAGGCCAGAAAGTAGCCTGAGTTACTAGACACCGGTAATTTGGGTTGTAAAGAACCTGAATAAACAAACTCCTGCAAGTAACTATTCACTTCCACTACCTTTGACATCGCACCCACATATTTCTTAGTAGTACAGTATTCCTAGAATTTACAGCTGTAGTCCAGACGTCCATTTGTCCTGTCATTCTCTCACACATTTATTGTTCTTTGTCTAAAATGTATAAAAGTATCCTGCTTGGGTCATTTCTTTGGAATTCACTCTCTTGTGAAGATCCCCACATACATGTAAAATTAATAAACCCTGAGTGATTTTCTCTTGTAATCACCTCTTGCGTTAATTCACTTTCTAGATCTAGCCAAAGAGCCTATATAAGAATCCAGAAGTAGTAGAAGGATCTCTCCCTCCCCTACAATTGCTTTTGAGAATGCAGCAAATGCTGGCTGGAAAGCTGGGTAATTCCCCCATCATGCAAAAGGTAGTATTGTTGGGCTGGGGATTTAGCTCAGTGGTTCTGCCACCTGCCTCGCAAGCGCAAGGTCCTGAGTTTGATTCCCAGTACCAAAAAAAAAAAGTGGTATTGTTTATAATTTTCTGGCAATCTTCTTTAAGGTTGTTGATCTGGGCTTTTAAAAGAGAAACAGCTTTTCAAGTCACGTGCCAGGATAATCTAGTGATAGTGGTTTTAGAACTTACTTGTTTAAAGACTTTCTGAGATCCAATGAAAGCAAACAATGAATCATCTCCCTTATAAATATAAAATTTTAGGGCTGGGATTTAGTTCAGTGGTTCCACCACCTGCCTTGCAAGCGCAAGGTCCTGAGTTCAATCCCCGGTACCAATAAATAAATAAATAAATAAATATAAAATTTGCCTGTGATTTTGGAGGTGGACTCTGGGCTACTGTAAACAAAGTTATTCACAGGAGAGGCCTCACCACAGGGCCTCTATATCTACATTAGACCAAATTCCCAGCAATAAGTGTTCTAATAGGAATAGCTTTATTTTTCTACTAACCTTCAGCTACTAATTTTTAGAATCTCCTTAATATTGAAAGGTCCACATTATATCATGAATTTCAAAACATTATCCACAGGGCTGGGGATTTAGTTCAGTCGTTTCACTGCCTGCCTTGTAAGCACAAGGTCCCGAGTTCAATCCCCCGTTCCAAAAAAAAAAAACATTATCCACAAACATGTTGAAAACAGTTAGCTACTATAAAATAAGGCACTGTACCTCTGGTACATCAGACTTCCATCACCAGTGAAGAAATAGTTGTATTATAACTCACATATCTTCAATGAGTAGCAAGCAACTCAAACTTTTACCAGCATTTTGTATACTTACTAGGAACCACTGAGGGAAGCAATGTATTCTTATAGTCATCATTCTGAAAGAAAATGATCAATGAGAAGTGATCTGTTTAAATTCCAGATGTATATTATACGTATATTTATATATGTAATAAATATTTTTAAAAATAACTTGAAATTAATTTACCTTTATAACAATCAAGCTTCCTTCCTGTTTGGGGTAAAAAAACTAATACACTCTGGAAATCAGTCTATAGGTCTTGCTTCTCCTGTCACCTTAACATTGTACAGGAACACAGGAGTTTTTTTGTTTTGTTTTGTTTTTGCAATAAGTCACAAAACTGTCAAGGCTGGGTTTGAATTTATAATCCTTGTGCCTCAGCCTTCCAGAGTGCTGAGATTACATGCATGCATCATTACACCTGGCTAAAATCCAAGGAATCGGGCCAGGGATTTAGCTCAGTGGTTCCACTGCCTGCCTCAAAAGTGCAAGGTCCTGAGTTTGATCCCCGACGCCAAAAAAAAAAAAAAAATCCAAGGAATCTTTGGGACTGAGGTGGTACTTATAAATAGATTTCAGTTTAATTAAATCAGAGAACTTTAGCTGGGCATGGTGGATTATACCTGTAATCTCAGCAGTGGGGAGGTTGAAGCAAGAGAATCTTGAGATGAAAGCCATTTTAGAATACATAGTGAGTTCAAGACCAGCCGGAGCTACATAGTAAGATCTTGTCTCAAAAAAAAGAAAAAGAAAAATCACAGAACTCTTCTTTCAAAAAATGAAAAGGAAGAAGAAAAAAGGTGGGAAGAAGGAAGAAGGAAGTATTCAAGATTAAAGGTTAAGATACATGTCATATTTCCAGGTGCAGTGGCTCATGACTGTACTCCCACTACTTGAGAGGCTGAAACAGGACAACTGTGAGTTGGAAGCCACCCTTGGCAACTTAGTGAATCCTTGTCTCAAAATAAAAGAAAAAGTGCTGGGGGGCTGGGGATTTAGCTCAGTGGTTCCACTGCTTGCCTCACAAGCACAAGGTCCCGAGTTCGATCCCTGGTACCAAAAAGAAAAAGTGCTGGGGATGTAGCTCAGTAGTAGAATGCTTGCCGAGCATGTATGAGGCTCTGGGTTCATTCTCCAGTACCACAAAAAATAAGTAAATAAATAAACATTTTTAAAATAAAAATAAGAAAAAAGCTCTAGGGATGTAACTCAGTGGTAAAGCTTACCTACTATGTGTGAGGCCCTAGGTTCAATCCCTAGCACCACCCCCTCATACACACACACAAATGATACAAAGTTGGATCCTTCTACCCCCACCCAGGACTAGGGATTGAACCCAGGTTGCTCAACCACTGAGCTATATCCAAGGACTTTTTATTTTTTGTTTTGAGACAGGGTCCTCCTAAGTTGCCCACGCGCCTGGCATTTGCAGTCCTCCTGCCTCACCCTCCTAAGTAGCTAGGATTACAGGCATGCACCACCATACCCAGTTCTTTTTGGACTTTAATTTAAAAAAAATAACTGCAAAAAATATTTTGAGCCAAGTGTGGTGGTGCACACCTGTAATCTCAGCACTGAGGAGGACTGCTTGAGTTCAAGGCCAGTTTGGACTACATAGTGAGTTCAAGCCTAACCTGAACTGCATAGTGAAACTTTGTCTCAAAAAACCCACAAAAACCAAAAAACAAAAAAAACCCACAGTGGTTCTGCTGCCTGCCTCGCAAGCACAAGGACCCAAGTTCGATCCTCAGTACCAAAAAAAAAAAGGGCCAGGGATTTAGCTCAGTGGCACTGTGCCTGTCTCACAAGTATGAGGTTCTGAGTTCAATCCCCAGTACCAAATAAATAAATAAACAAATATAGTGGAACGTCCTTCCAATTCAGAAACCAACATTGTCACCGGGGATTTAGCTCAGTGGTTCCACTGCCTGCCTCGCAAGGTTCCGAGTTCAATCCCCAGCACCAAAAAAAGAAAAAAAAAGATAAGAAAAAAAGAAATAATAAAAAATTTTGAGGCAATTGAGAAAATTTAATATGAATTGTATATTATATGACAGTAAAGAATTATTTTCATTGTATTTAGCATAATGGGACTGTTTTCTATTATAAAAACATAGACATATGTTACAATTACATATAATCACACACCACATAACAATGTTTTGGTCAAATACCATAATGTTGTAGTACAAGTCACTAAGCACACTACACACATTTGTGGTGATGCTGGTATAAACAAACCACCTGTGCTGCCAGTCATAAAAATATAACATATACAATTATGTACAAGACATGATACTTGGTAATGATAACAAATAACTAGTTAACTGGTTTATGTATTTACTGCACTATACTCTTGTCATTCTTTTAGAGTGTACTCCCCTTCTTATAAAAGAAAAAATATACTATAAAACAGTATGCTGTGTTGCACTAGTAAGTCTCATGCACCTTGTGTCTCTTGATTGTACCGGAAGCCGGATCAACTGATTGGCCTACACCCCATCTAGGTCTGTGGAAGTATACTCAGTGATATTCGCACAGTGATGAAATTGCCTAATGATGTCTTTCTTAGAATGTATCAGGTCGTTAAGTGACACGTGACTACACTGAAACATTTACAGTTAAAACTGTATAATGTCTGAGATTTGCTTTAAATTCCTCCCCTTCTTCACCCAAAATTTAAGAAGAGACAGTCAGAGGAAATAAGAGCAGAAAAATACTGACAACTGTTAAAAATGAATGTTGGGGGACGGGGATTTAGCTCAGTGGTTTCGCCGCCTGCTGTGCAAGCGCAAGGACCTGAGTTCGGATCCCCGGTCCAAAAAAAAAAAAAAAAATGAATAACGGATACACGGCAGTTCACTGTGTTATTCTAATTTTGTACGTACCTAAATTTTTCATAATAAAGGATTTTTTGTTTTATTTTTATTTTTTGTTTGTTTGGTTTTTTTGGTACCGGAGATCAAACTCAGGACCTTGCGATTGCGAGGCAGGCGCAGTGCCACTGAGCTAAATCCCCGGCCCTTTCTGTTTTATTTTTAAATCAGAGGACTCACATTCCAACAGTATAAGCTGAACAATACATACAGTGTAGTTCAGACAAACAATTTCAATACAGAAAATCAGAGTTAGTTTGTGTCTAAACATAAAATCTTAGAAAAGAATTCAAGAGTCAGAAATGCCTATAAGGTAAAAAGAATAAGAGCATTTCTCTTTACTTCATGATAAATGAATAAAGACAACTAATGTCTATGGCCCTTTAGATTTTACCCATTTGACCTCTGCAGATTTATATATACAAAGCTGAGGTTTTTACTATTTTAATATGAAAGTAAATTGTTTTCTCTACATATAAATGGAATATAGTTAATCTGATAAATGCATCTAAATCATTGTACACAATTTTCAGATTTGTCCAGCTCCATAAAATGTTCTTTGTAGCATGTACTCTGCTACTATCAAGAGTTTGATGAGAGACAACAGCTTTGTTTTCTCATAAATTCAAATTAACAACAAATCAGTATCAAGTTAAATGATTGAAAGTATCTCCCTGGTTTTAAAAAAGATTTTATCTTTCAAAAGGCCAATTAGAAAGACAGTCCAGCACTACATACAGTCCCATTCCAGTTTCAGTGTCCCCCTTCATACTGACCTGTCTTCTAGGAGGAAGGGGCAGGACACAAGGACCAGGCGATGGCAAAGGTGAGGGACCTGGTGTAGGTATTGGCGATGCCTCAGGTGGATCACCAGTTCCTACTGCAGTACCACCTCCTCTGCCAAGGGGATTTTTCTTGACATCCTTGGTAAATCCAATATTGACCAGATCTTCTAGGGCTTCAGCCTGAGGCAAGAAGGTAAGAATCCCACTCTGTTGTCACTTTATTGCACATGTATTTGTTGCATACTTACTATATGCTACACACTCCTGGAAGTACTGAAAGAATTGATAAGCAATGTGATATGGTTCCTGCCCTCATGAAACATATATAGTCTACTCAATGGAAGTTAAAAGCAACCTCAGGCTTTCTAGCCCAGTCTTCTTTCCTTCTCTTTCACTGACTTTCTTTTTTGTACCTAAGAAGTACATCAGTAGTTAACAGCAATATGCAAATATGTATAGGTATGTCTAGAAACTTTTTGGGGGGTACTGGGGATCGAACTCAGGACCTTGCTCTTGCAAGGCAGGTATGGTACCACTGAGCTAAATCCCTGGCCCAACTTTTTTTTGAGACAGGGTCTTGCTATGTAGTCCAGGCTGGCCTTCAACTTGTGGCAGTCCTCCTGCCTCAACCTCTCAAGTGCTGGGATTACAGGGGTGCACCACCATGCCCAGCAGTCTACAAACTTTAGCAATGGTAAACTCTGAATTTATTAGTTCATTTGACAAAATCTATTTACTAACAGAAGCCAGGAACAGTTCTGGAGGTGCAACAGTGGGAGAGACAGGTTATAAACAGGTTACAAACAGGATTGCTAAGCTCTATAGTATGTTAGCCAGAGATAAGTGCTATAGAGAAAAATATAGAGCAGAGAAGAGGGAGAATGTAATCTCAACACTGACAGCGGCTGATGCAGGAGGGTGAAAAGTTCAAGTCCTGCCTGCTGGACAACTTATAGACCCTGTCTCAAAATACAAAAAAGGGAGTGGGGCTGGGGATACAGCTCAGTGGTAAAGCAACCTTGGGTTCAATCCCCAATACCATGGGGGGGGGCAAGGAGAGGGAAAGGAAAGAAGGAGGGGGAGGAGGAAGAGGAAGAGGAAGAAGAAGAAGAAGGAGAAGGTAAGAAGGAAAAGGATAAAAAGAGGGAGGAGGAGGCCAGGGGTGTAGCTCAGTGGGACCATGCCTGCCTGGCCAGTGCAAAGTCCTGAGTTCGATCCTGTGTACCAAAAAAGAAATAAAAAGAAATCAGTTGAAATTTAGCTGGGCATGGCGGCACCCATGAGGCTGAGTCAGCAGGATTGCGGAGAGATCGAGACCAGCCTGGACTACTTAGTGAGTTCAGTGCCTGACTGAACTATAAAATGAGACCCGTCTCAAAAAGAAAAGTGGGAGGAGGGAGAGAAGAAGGAGGAAGAGGAGGGGGAAGAGGAAGGGGAAGAGGAGGAGTGGGGAGGAGGAGAAGAAGAAGATAAGAAGAAGGGTAAAAAGTGGGAGGAGAGAGAAGAAGGAGAGAGTAGGTAGAGATTTTGTTTTGGGGTTTTTTTTTTTTTAGTACCGGGGATCAAACTCAGGACCTTGTACTTGCGAGGCAGGCAGCAGAACCACTGAGCTAAATCCCCACCTGGTAGAGATTTTAGAGAAGGCAGCCAGAAAAGGCCTCAGAGAGAAGAAAACATTTAAGTACAGACCTGAAGGGAGAGGGACCAGTCAGATATCAAGAGAACACAGAGCACTAGAGGAAAGTACAAAGGTCCTGAGGTGGGAGTGTGTGTTTGAAGAAATATAAGGAGGCCAGTGTGGCTGAGACAGAGTAAACAAGGGGAATGAAGCTGAAAGACATACCAAGAGCAAAGAGCAGGTATGTCAGTCACAGGAAAGACTATTATTTTAAGTGAAATAAAACTCCATTGTAGGGCTTTGAAAGCAGAGGAGTAACATGATCTGACTTGGCAATAAACAAGTTCTCTGATGCCATACTAAGCATCAGTGAAAGGGGGAACAGAAGTAAAAGCAGGAGGGCTGGGGATTTAGCTCAGGTTCCTCTACCTGCTTCACAAGCGCAAGGTCCCTAGTTTGATCCCTGGTACAAAGAAGTAGAAGCGGGAAAACTGGTGAAGGGGCTCTTGCAATAATCCAAGCAACAGAGGGCTCCAGGTTGGACCAGGGTACTGGTAGTGGAGCTAGTAAGACATGGCAGAAGTCTGAATATATTTAGAAGATAGAGATACTAGGGTTTGCTGAAAGATTGGCTGGGGCG